TATAAAGCCAACAAATGTTCCTCGGCAGTCACAGCTGTTTATTTGGGAACTGAAGTCTTTAGAGGAGATCCCAAATATAAACGTCTTGCTTTGCTTCAATGGGCTTTGAAGAAAAAAGGAACTGAATTAGCATTTGTCAAAGCTTGTAATGCTTTGTTTTGTTTTGTTTGTTACGAGTTGCTGGGATTGTCTTAGTTCTGTCGAGAAGCTGTTCCTGTCTCTCCTTCAGCTCCAGGACGACTGCAACATGTGCTTCATTAGAGGCCTCTCACATACTGTAGTGAGCACTGTGTGTCCTAGTAACAAGGGAGACATCTCTGTAGCCTCAAACTGAAGAACCAGCATCGGACAAATGTTGACGACCTACATTGTGTTTGCCTGGAGGAACCTCCCAAAATCTAATCAGCAACAACCCTGCTCCTCCGTGCAGCAAACAGGATTTGTTCTGTGGGCACTCCATCACTGAGAGAGTTCATCTTCGGCCCATTATCATCTTCCTCTTGCCACGAGGAGGAATGTTCTACTTTTCTTTCTGAGTTAAGTTCTGTTTTCATTTTTATGCTGATAGCTAATGTTGCCAAGAGGGATAAACAGGCCCATTAGTGTCATTTCTGGCTTTCACTCGCAATAAAAATATGAAGTGGAAAATGTGCGTTTTGATCTTTTAATGTGCTCACCAAATGACACCACTTTGAAGGAAACACTGAGCCACAGATTTGTACACATGGAGATCACAGAGAGAAGTCAGCCTGTGAAAACAGATGCTTAATGTCTTCGGTAGCTCTGGGGTGAGCTTCTCTAGGTCAGCAAAAATAACCCTGATGTCGTTAGGGTTATTTTCAAATTGAATGGGGCATGTGTTCCAAATCTTAACAGAACGCTTGTGTGAAAGCTTGCTCAGCACTTTTGAGCAGCATTTTGGGAATTGTAGTATCCCATTTATAATAATAATAATAATAATAATAATAATGCATTTTATTTATATAGCGCTTTTCACAACTCAAAGATGCTTTACAATATGAGGGAGGGTAGACAAGGACATAAAAAAATAAAAAGGCAGTCAAGAGGAAGTTGATTGAGAGGTTGGGGGCTTATGGGTAGACAGAGTTGAAAAGATGTGTTTTGAGGCGGGACTGAAAGACTGTGAGGGACTCAGAGTCACGGAGATCTTGGGGGAGGGAATTCCAGAGCCTAGGAGCTGCCACTGAGAAGGCTCTGTCCCCAAAGCTGCAGAGTGTGGATGTGGGGATGGATAGGAGGACAATTTGTGCGTCTTGATCCATTTTAGGGACTTAAATTCAGAATATCTTGGCCTCTGCAGCATGGATTTTGACCAGTTCTTTTTTTAACACAACTCTTGTGAGTCTCCTTTAGGGAACTGCAGCTCAGTGTCAATATTAGGGCATAATATCTAACATTTCTGCACTAAAAAGTCTAAACACAACGGGATCTTTTCGACAGGGATCTGAAGCCATTGTCCATCTTCTACAGTATGCTCTCGATATATGTTTTACAAATGTGTGTGCTTATATAAATGCCAAATGTTTCCAACAATTGGCAAACTCAGAGAAATACAGTTTTTAACTAGTTAAGCCGCGAGCCTGTTATTCAGGCCTCAGGCTCGAAAGTGACATTCCCAGAACATCACATTACATTACATGTCATTTGTTAGACACTTTTATCCAAAGTGACTTACATACATTCAGTACCGTGCACAATCCCCACAGGAGCAATTTGGGGTGAAGTGTCTTGCCCAGGGACACAACGACATGCTGACTGCAGTGGGACTCAAACTTGCTATCCCCTGATTCGAAGTCCATCACACTATCCACTGAGCCATAGTCTCCCACTGTAGAACAAATGACCATATCTTCACTTCTAAAAAGGGGTACATTAATAATATTTGTTCTCAAATCAATGACAAACCTGTGAGTTGGATGTAGAAAAGTCAGAATCAATATAGAATGTTTTTATTTGAAAGTAAATTCAGATTGAACATAGTAAAAAAATGTAAATGATAGTGTCCGTCCAAAACAAAAACATTACTTATGGTGAAAACCGCCCTTGAATGATGGGATCGGAGACTAAAAGCTTTAGGAATCCAAACTATAANGGCAGTGTGTGTTTAATATCTGTCTGTGTGAGTTTGTGTTGTTGCAGCTGAGGAGGTAAGGTACCTTTTCACCAAAGAGCTTGCTTTGTCTCAACCAAGCATTAGCTCCTCCACGGCATGTGGTGCGCCACACGGCCACACCACACCAACACAACACACAACACCACCACCACAGGAACTCATGCATTTGTCCATGTGTTCTCTGCCATAATACCCAGACAAGGTGTATGCTTATTACCTCGATATTAAAGCTCCTAGTGATTCTCCGTTGTTTTCTCCTTATCTGTCTTGTTAATTTTTAAATCCTTCACAGGAACAGCAGCGGGAACGTTTTCGGCAAAACTAATTGTTACATGGATTTATAGGAAGAAACTGCACCATTATATCAATGGGATTATATATTCATTTTAACCATTTTATCATTTGTATTTAGATAAACTTTGACTTGCTTTTGCTACAGTAAAAACTTGTTGCCATTGAAGTTTATCAAAAATGCATTGCTCTAAGGTGTGCTCCTTACAGGTTTTGGGGCATCTAAACGCATATTTTTTAGATTTCGACTCATACCTTTTGTGGAGGAATGCAGTGTGTTTTCTGAAGACCTTCGTTTAGAGGAGGTTATTCAGGTCCGGGATTGGGTAGCTTGTCAGGTCATCCCATCACCTGCTTTCCTAAACCCCACCGCGCCTGGACCACCAGGGCTGTGTGTGTGTGTGGTTGTGTGTTGTGTGGTGTGTGTTGTGTGTGTGTGTGTGTGTGTGTGTGTGTGTGTGTGTGTGTGTGTGTGTGTGTGTGTGGTGGTGTGGTGTGTGTGTGTGTGTGTGTGTGTGTGTGTGTGTGTGTGGTGTGTGTGTGTGCTGTGTGTGTGTGGTGTGTGTGGTGTGTGTGTGTGTGTTGTGTGTGGTTGTGGGTGTGTGTGTGTTGTGTGTGTGTGTGTGTGGTTGTGTGTGTGTGTGTGTGTGTGTGTGTGTGTGTTAGAGCAAGATCTGCACATTATTCTGTCTTGGAAAGTTACTTTTTATATTGGTGTGAATCCATGATGATTGTCTGTGTTGTCTTAAAACGTGTGTTCGTATGGATTTCGTCATTTTTCTGGAATACCAATTTTACCTACAAAAAAAGTAGCCTCAACCTTGATTTGTTTTCTTAAGTGAAAACTGTCTTGAATTTTGACCACGCTGACCCTCTCTCCCTGCAGGTCCTCTCTTTCTGGTCAGTGGACGGTCAGCAGCAGCAAACCAAAGTGGAGGTCCTCGACACACAGGGTCCAGGACTCGGCTTATTTGAACTTATCCTTAAAATCAATCATTTTTTGTGATTAAAGTTTTGTCCTTGTAAACGTGTTTCTTATATCTTTAATGCTGTATGGGATTTCACCCTCACTAAGGAGCAATTTTAACCTTCCACAGTCTCAACCCATATTTTCCATGCAATTTTTTTTGCCATCAATCTGACATTCAGAGTGAAACTGATTTGAAAAATTGTGGCCCTAATATTGCAACTTTGAACAATGAATTTAACACAGTTGTAAACAGGAAATCATATTATTTGGGCAAAATTAACCTAAACAGGTTACTTCAAAGAAAAGTATATTTACTGTATTCACATTTTTCTTCTTGTCCTTTACCAGAATGCTGGTGCTGGCCTGTGGAGTTCAGGACGGGAGGAAGATTCAAGGAACCCCAGAATCGAGTGGTAAGGAAAAGGGAAATGGGGGTGACGTGTGTTATTTTAATCACAATTCACTGGTGAGTGACAGACCTAACAGGGAATTCCTTTAAATCTCTCAACAAAATTTGGCCCTGATATTGAGTTGCCCTTTTCTTCCCACTCGTCCTTTCATAATCACCCTTTGATTTATTCATGTTGTTAAAGCTGTACCTCTGTCCCCCTCCCACCATAGGCCAGTATGCCAACAGGGCGAAGATGGAGGGGCGACCGCTGACCTTCCACGTCGGTCTCTCAGAAAGACTCGGGGGAGTATCGCTGCGACGTGACGGCCAGCGAGGACCACGTGGAGCCTGGGGAAGTACTGTGACGGCTCAATGTGGGCTCGGTATGAAAGGGCACCTGGGCCTCTTGTTTAGTGAATATGGAAAAGATGCTTATTATATTAGGCATCTCTTTAGTGTCTGTAATGTTGATGTATTTTGAAATGATGTGGGCAGATTTGGTTATAAAATTCATACACAAATTAAATTGAGAGATTTGAGCTGCGAAGGGTCTGTTAACCGCCCTTCGTTGGTGTAGTATCAGGAGTAGAGGAGAGGTTTAATGATTTTATAAAGGGGACCCTATTATGCTAATCCCCACTTTTTTCACGTCTTTTTATACATCATAACATGTAAACTTGTAAAGAGTTTTGAAGAGTTTCAGGAAAATAGGATTCTCCTCACTCTTTTTGTCCTGAATCCATTTCTATTAAAATCCGGGTCTGAGAATTGAGCTTGATCAGATTTTGCCTCGTTTTATGATGTCATAACGATTTTTTGGGCTTGGTCTTAACCATAGCACAGACTAATGGAAACCCTCCCACCTTTTACTTCAATCTGACCGATCTCTTCCTAGGGCACCATAGTGTTCTTCTCTAACCAAATCTCTTTCAGTCTCAGAGGGGCGTGGGGAGGGGCTCCTTATTTATTTATTTATTTATTTATTTTTTTTGGTATTTCGAGCCAAACACTTCAGAGACATGTTTTATATCTGAGACCTATAATATATTGATGAAAAACAGTATAATAGGGGACCTTTAATCAAAACCACAACCACAATTTTTCTAAATGTGAACCAACATTTTGCCAGCTGAATTTCCACCACACACCTCTTACTGTGAATATTGCTAATTCTATACATAACTGGATCTGTTTCCCCCCCTCTTCTTCCTCAGTGCCTCCTCACGTCCCGTCCTGCGAGGTGCCCAGCTCGGTGTTCGTGGGCTCCGGGCTGGAGCTTCAGTGTAAAGACAAACTCAGCGTTCCCCCGGCCACTTACCGCTGGTACAAAGACAACAAGGCCCTGACCCCCTCAGCAGAGACGCAGTACAGCGCCGACACCAGCAAGGGCACACTTGTGAGTACACACTATCATTATTAATCTAATATATCATATTCCAATTACTTGTATATAGACTCTCCTTGCACTTATTCTATTGTATTTGTAGTGTTATATTGTTGGAGGAGCCTGTGACCTAAGATTTTCATTGATATATCTACACTGTACACATGACAATAAAAGCCTTGACACTTGAATCTTGAAATACAAACACCTGAATGCACCCAGGAGTATAAAGACATCTCACATCTGTAAAGAAACACATTAATCTCCTCACTTTGTGTTTTTCTGGAGCAGGAGTTTACGAGTGTGACCAAAATAGACACGGGGATGTACCGCTGTGAGTCCTCCAACAGCGTGGGAGCGCCCAAGAGCTGCGTGGCCAAACAACTCAAAGTCATTGATTGTAAGAGGTTTTAGTAAAACTCCTATTTAAAATGTACATGTCTCGCTTCACTCACCAAACACATTAGTAATTCCTCTCTTCCCCCCCCTCCCAGATCCTTTGAATATGACGGTTTTGATAGCAGGTGCTGCAGCTTTCCTGGCGCTCGTCCTCTTCTGCTGCATCTGTGTGTGTGTCTGCAGGCGCCGAGGCTGCTGCAAGAGTGAGTGGTCGTGTGATGTGTGTGAATTATGAATTTGCTGGATAGAAATGTTTAAAGTGTGCATTCAAAATGTGTAAATGTGACTAAATGCATTCCTTTATCATTTTAAATGGAAAACTCAGTGCAGTTTCTGTGGTTTTAGGGATTATTATTATAGTGTTTTAAGCATATTGTTTTTGTTTTATACTGCTCCTATCAGCCTTTTTTTTATCAGGGAAATTACTCTAAAAAGCCACTGTACACCTGCTCAGCCCCAAAAAGCAGACATACCGATGAATTGACTAACTTGTGAGGTAAAGAGCTAAGGAGCCTGACATTTGCCTCAGTGGAGCTGAAACAGAGTGAATATTGGATTTACATTTGTCAGGTTGGACAGAAACAGGAGTCTGAATGCATACTTGAGTAAATGTACTAATCACTATCCACCATTACCAACTGATTAATAGACAAATGTGCAGCTTAGTCAGTGACCATTGTTGGGTTCAGAATTCCAGAAAAGACAGACAACTTCTAAGTTTAACTATTTATTATAAAGAGAGCAAACGATATATCACTTGGCCAAGGAGTCATCACGTCTTTGGGAATCACAGGCAGCAAAGCTGTAATCTGTAACCACCAAATCTGTCAAGAGCCACGAACCTCGTGCGACAATACATTTTATTTCACAGGGCGTTGTCCGTATATTTTTGATTGGTCAAGACTAGCTGAAGAGATACCGCGGTTTAGACTTGGTTCTCTTTGGTTGGTGCACAGACTCAGACAAGAGTCTCTTGGCAACACGATCCTCCAATCAGCATTCGGCAGGCTGGCGAAATCCCTCCCTACTCTGTCTCTATCATATGTAATTTGTTTTTGCTAACGTTTCTTCAGATATAGCGGGAAACCATAATGTTGCTTCCTAGCTTTGCGGGGGAGCGCGGCATAAGGCCGGTGCGATGTGCTGTTCTGACTACCTCTTTGTGTTCTCTCAGTCTTTGCATCTGACCTTGCTACTTTCAATATTGCAAGCTAAACACTTTCTCATGTGACTTTTCCCTTCGTTCCTATCCTCCCCATCAGCACTTGGGGGGCGTGATTGGGTCCATGTATTCCTAAGTCACAGCAACATAAAATGAGCACAATAAGCAAATAATGTAATAATAAGAATCTTGTAATGTTATATAAAAACAGACTCCACACCATGACAAATGTTAACGTTTCTTCTTTGTCGTTTCTTTGAACAGAGAGAAGAAAATGAAAAGGTGAGGCTTTCTCTGTTTCATCTGACTCTTTTTGTCTGTAACCGTGTGTGTATTAGTTGATAATGAAACTCCAACACTTCCACCTTTGTCTTTCAGCAACAAATGATCCTTACCAACCCTCCTCCTCCGCCTCCCAT